ACCACAGCAGTGCAAGCATTGGTACTTGATGACAGAAATAGGTACATAAGATAACTAACTTTTATAATTGTTGTATAGATTAATTTCCAGCATGCCTAGTACGAGTTATTTTACGTGTTCGATCCCGAGAAAGTTAACTACGATTTGTATGGAATAAAAAAAGCGCCAACTAGTGACAATAATCGGAAACACGATTCATGAGTGCGAGTTTAATAAATCGTTGACATCGACGATCGAACATTGACTCGTATTCGACAGTTAGAACGTTAACGCTCGTGATTGGTCGTTTCAAATATTTTGCGAGTGCGAGCGGCAATTTTGATTGTTCGAAACGTAAATTATGTAAACTTTACGCTGTCGCGATCGAAAAAGTTGTCACATGTATTTTCACAGCGACATAGAAGAGTGAGAATAATGGTTGAAAAGTTAATTTTAGTTCGTTTTATGTGAACGATGTATAATTATGGCAGAGCGCAGGACGTTTTTTTTTTTCGCTTGGAGGATGTTGGCAGCCACTAAGGCATATATAACTAATAGATGACTGCTATTATAATGCCAGTGTTAAAGCAAGAACTTGTGTATATTTTAGTGCGTTGTTACATCCAGATAACAGGCAATTTAATCGCATTTTCCATTAAAGTGTTCAAGTTTTTTTGCAAATAGCGTTTCAGAAATCTAAGGTCTACCATTACTATTCAATAATTAAGTCAATTCCTATTCAAATTTTCAAACAGATTATTCTATCGCTTGCACTAGACCAGTGGTGGGCAAACTTTTTTAATGGCGGGCCACAAAGTTTAAGAAATTCTGGAGGAGGGCCAGAATTAGAGAAAAAATGCATTTTGTATCAAATCTTTTACTCAACCATCAAAACTCAATTATAATGGGCCATATACTATCCATGTCGATGGACCCTCGGCGGGCCGGATTAAATACTTTCGCGGGCCGGAATTGGCCCGGGGGCCGTACTTTGCCCATCACTTGCACTAGACAATGCTTTGCTGAGGTCTCTATGCCGAAAATTCAATAAATTCTAGTCCGTGAAACCTAGGTACAAACAAGCGCATCAAAGTTCACACATTAAATAATTTAAATTCCATTTACATCTCCAAAAATGTCACTATAAAAGCATATTAGAACAAAAACATCTTCATGTTTTTTGTTTTTAAATTAAAACTTTCAATTATTAAAAATTAAATGGATAATTCACAATCTCATTGTACTAACACAAACTGTCGAAACCTTGATCAAATTACGAAATATAAACAAAAAGGTAATAAAGATCGCTATAATAACCACAAATTTGATAGACAGATGCTAATATTTAAGACCACTAAATAAAAATGTAATTCTGAAATTGGTGAGTTTATCTCACGAAGACAACATGCTACCAACATAAGAGAAGTAATAAACGCCATTCGCGGTGAGCAAACGCGAATCGAAAGGTTAGCTTCGATTGTAACTTTGTAACTCACACTCGCTTGTCTATGATTATCGATACCGATGACGTTAACTCGGTTAACGCGATGGTGAAGTGATTCGAATAATTTTGTGGAACTCGCACTAGGCACACAGATCAAGTAACTTGAATGTTTAAATTATAATCAAATAAAATGGCATTAAACATAAAAAACAATTGTAATCAACTCACATCTGGCTTCCTGGAGACGGTGCAGCGCAGCAGGCCGCCGGGCAGCGGGTAGAGCACGATGAGCACGTCGCAGAACTGCGTGGGCAGCGTGTCGCGCTTGTACGGCCGCCAGTGCTCGCTCCACACCACGTGCACTTCGTCGTTGCCCAGGTGCCTCGTCTGGTAGTAAAAATAATAATATAACAGCATGTGCAGCCGACCCTACCATGGATGTTTGTGTTAGGTATTATTTATACTAGTGACAAACGAACTTTCAGAACCTGAACAGTCCGTAGACACATACAGCCAATCCCAAACAAAGAAATACAGATGCGTTGTCACTTTTCAGGGCTCGGGTGTAATGACTCATAGTCTGTAATTATATTGGCTCTCTATATGTTTCAGACCATAATACAACAGTGCTATTTGGCGCAGAAATAGAGGGTGGGCCACCTGCTGGTTTCTTTTTAAATTACTTTTTTATATAAAAGAGTATTAACAATGCTATTAACATTACTAATATTCCCCTTAACCACTCGTGGTAAGCTTAAAATTGCTTGTGTTACGAGTGGTTCACGCCAATAGTCGAATTGGTGGATTCGAACCCACGACTCCATCTCGGCGGCTATGTGAATAAGCAAAACTGCCGTATTAAGGGCTCGGAAAACCCACACGAAGTCGTAGAGATACCAATCCATCCTCAGCGTGTAACATATTTGGTGTGATGTTTGGAGTGACGGCATTATTGGCCCATTTTTCTTCGAAGATGAAGATGACAACAACGTAGTGGTCAACGGACAGCGCTACAGAGGCATGATAATAGATTTTTTGTGGCCAGAAATTGACGAATTGGGCTTCGGCGAGCTCTGGTTCCAGCAGGAGGGCGTCACGTGCCACACAAGCCGTCCAACAATCGATATTTTGCGCACGAAGTTCAATAATCGTTTAATCAGCAGTTTTGGTTATGTAACTTGGCCTTCCCGGAGCTGCGACTTGACGGTGTTGGACTTTTTCTGTGGGATGCTGTTAAAGATAAACGTTACTCTGACCATGCAGAAAGAATTCAGGTACCTAAGCGATCAAAGTAATCGTGAAGTAAGAGCCTCAAACCATCAAAAATGTACTGCAGAGTTACGTTGAAATGATGCGCTACTGCCAAGCCGGCCCAGGCAGCCATTAAAATGAAATTATATTCCATAACTGATTGGAAGGTTTACTATTTTTAATAAAACAACAAACCTTGAAAAATATGAAGCAGTGTTTATTTTATAGCATTTTAAAAAAGAAAACTAGCTGATGGCCCACCCCTTATGTAAGAGACTCCACCCAAACTGGCTGAAAATGAGTCCTACCAACTAATCTCTTATTGCTACACTATTTCTTCTAGATTTTATAAAAAGAGACCACCCTTTGATTTCATTTCAATATTTGTGTATTTTTTGCGCATGTAGTTTCCAGCTATTATACTGCAGGCGAATGTTACGTCAATATACATACAATGAATGACGAATATTAAATAACGAACTTCTCACATGAATAAATGTTCACCGTACCCATCTGCTCTTGTACTCCAAGGCCGTGCTCACGAGTCACATACACAACATAAAGTGTTGTATACAAAGACTTCTATGTGTACTGCGAAATGTGCACTACGATACTTCGAACGTAACTTCTTTAGTCGAATGCGAGCAAGCTAGAAGACTAGTTTTTTGTTTTGCAAACCCTGAACGTTGTTTTCGACAATCTAACACTAATTTTGTTCATTGTGACAAAGACATACATTACACGCTCATGCAGGTGTCAACCAATTCCATCAATCATGATTGATAAAAAGCGGATGGTAACTGATAGGCGTACATTACACGCTCATGCAGGTGTCAACCAATTCCATCAATCATGATTGATAAAAAGCGTATGGTAACTGATAGGCGTACATTACACGCTCATGCAGGTGTCAACCAATTCCATCAATCATGATTGATAAAAAGCGTATGGTAACTGATAGGCGTACATTACACGCTCATGCAGGTGTCAACCAATTCCATCAATCATGATTGATAAAAAGCGTATGGTAACTGATAGGCGTACATTACACGCTCATGCAGGTGTCAACCAATTCCATCAATCATGATTGATAAAAAGCGTATGGTAACTGATAGGCGTACATTACACGCTCATGCAGGTGTCAACCAATTCCATCAATCATGATTGATAAAAAGCGTATGGTAACTGATAGGCGTACATTACACGCTCATGCAGGTGTCAACCAATTCCATCAATCATGATTGATAAAAAGCGGATGGTAACTGATAGGCGTACATTACACGCTCATGCAGGTGTCAACCAATTCCATCAATCATGATTGATAAAAAGCGGATGGTAACTGATAGGCGTACATTACACGCTCATGCAGGTGTCAACCAATTCCATCAATCATAATTGATAAAAAACGGATGGATCCGCTAACTGTTAGACGTACATTACTGTACGCTCATGCAGTGTGTCAACCAATTCCATCTAATCATGATTGATAATCTTTGCGTGGCGACGTAGGGGTCGCGATACGGCAACTGTACGCCTGTGTTGAGCTTATGGCATCGGGAGATTCACAGGATGCGTGTGGCGACGTATACAGCCCTCGAATGTGTTCCAACATGGCAACGTAGGGAAAATACTCGCGGATACGGCACCGTGTACACCTTTTGGTATGAGCTGTCGGTCTGTGTCGGCGGGCATAAAGCGCGTGGCGACGATGGAACAGCACTCGAGGTGCGCGTGGCGCGTACTCGGATACAGACCGTGTACGTACCTTGTTGAGTATGGCGTCGGGCGTGTCGGCGGGCATGCGCGTGGCGACGTGAAACAGCGCCTCGAGCGTGAGCGTGGCGACGTAGGGCGCGGATACGGCACCGTGTACGTACCTTGTTGAGTATGGCGTCGGGCGTGTCGGCGGGCATGCGTGTGGCGACGTGGAACAGCGCCTCGAGCGTGAGCGTGGCGACGTAGGGCGCGGATACGGGACCGTGTACGTACCTTGTTGAGTATGGCATCGGGCGTGTCGGCGGGCATGCGCGTGGCGACGTGAAACAGCGCCTCGAGCGTGAGCGTGGCGACGTAGGGCGCGGACACGGCGCCGTGTACGTACCTTGTTGAGTATGGCGTCGGGCGTGTCGGCGGGCATGCGCGTGGCGACGTCAAACAGCGCCTCGAGCGTGAGCGTGGCGACGTAGGGCGCGGATACGGCACCGTGTACGTACCTTGTTGAGTATGGCGTCGGGCATGTCGGCGGGCATGCGCGTGGCGACGTGAAAAAGCGGCTCGAGCGTGAGCGTGGCGACGTAGGACGCGGACACGGCGCCGTGTACGTACCTTATTGAGTATGGCGTCGGGCGTGTCGGCGGGCATGCGCGTGGCGACGTGAAACAGCGCCTCGAGCGTGAGCGTGGCGACGTAGGGCGCGGATACGGCACCGTGTACGTACCTTGTTGAGTATGGCGTCGGGCGTGGCGGCGGGCATGCGCGTGGCGACGTGAAACAGCGCCTCGAGCGTGAGCGTGGCGACGTAGGGCGCGGACACGCCGCCACCGCCGCCGCCCCGCAGCCCGCCCGCGAACCCCACGTGCGACTCCAGCTCCACCTGACGCACACGAGCACACACTTACTTAATACACAAGTCCACTCCTACACACAGGTCTTCCCATATTGCCTCACAGGGAGGATTGTTTCGCTTTTTGGGTGGGTTCCCATTAGTTGGCAACCGCAGTTTTTTATTTATAGTCGTTACTATGAAGACGCTGCTGTTCATCTCCAGATTTGTTTACCTCTGTCGCCTCTTACGACACCCACACGATCAACGACAACACATACGCAATTCTATTATTATACTATAGTCTTTGCGTTTTAGGATGGTGCGGCTGAGAGCTTACAGTTTGGCGTGTCTAGAGATGGAAAAATGTTAAAGCAATAAAAAAGACGGTTAACGATACACATAGCAAAGCAAAAATTAGCGATTACCTAGCTATCGATATAAAAATCAAAACAGAAACATATTTTTTTACATATAAACTACAATGCATGTAAAATTAAGTTAAAGTTTAATACACATTATAACATAATAGTTACATAATAGCTGTTCCCCCCAAACGGACACTTCAATGTATAGATTACACTATGTATTAATTTGAAAATAAAAATCATTGTTGATTGCAACATTCATATTGACATTTAAACAAATAAAATGGCTGCCAGCACCTGTAATTTTCAATACAGTGTTGCCTGCACCGGCAGCTTTTTAAGGTACGAGTGCTAGCGCCTTTCGCTATATGTGTTAGTGTTACCCGGTCCAACAGGCCAAATATCGGGACGGAAGTTCAAAATAATCGAGAATTTGGTTTACAAATCTAATGAAATAAAAAAAAAGTTTACTGTAGCCATTTTTATAGCCATAAGAAAGTCTTTTTGACACAATGTGCAATTTGTTTTATTTTTTTTTTGCCTGAGCTGACCAATTAATAATTTATCGTCCATTCATCAGAAACACTGCATACTCGTCTTTGTGTGTTTTTATCCTCTAAATCAGAATTTGTTGAACGATTAGTTCAAATTCCAATATATATACGTGATTTTTATACATTAGATTTATTTTAAAACCGATTTTTGGTAGTCTGTGTTTGTTCGTTATGGCATGGCATAGTTTAGCGTGGCATATCACTATCGTAAGTGGATGGTACCCATCCATGAAGTACAATAATATCTGTATGACAGTTCATCTAAAAAATACGAAACTTCATAGGCAGCTGTCATTCGCACCATGCTACAACACAAACTATAACCGCGGAGATAACAATAGGAATATTAATGGCTTTATCTTTGTTCCAAGTGTTATTAATTATACTGGATGACTTTTTTACCGTCTGGAAAAACAGGGTGTAACAGGTGAACGGAGTGTAGAAGCTTATGGCACTGATATTTTACAATTTTTTTTTCTTCATCAACATATTATGAAATTGATCTATCAATAAATACTATTAATTTGAAGTAAACTTTGCTTAAAAACTATCGAAATTCAATTCATACGCACCCTATTTTACGAGCAACAATAAAACAATTAACTTGTAAAGCACTCGCCGCATCAAACAAAAGTCCTTGTCCTTTCGCAGGGACGCAGGCGCAAGGCCACCCCACCCGCGCTCTCATTTCAGTCACTTTAGATTAGCTACGGCGTGACGTCATGTTTAGAGACGTGCTATTGTATATTTAGAAAGAAACGGTAAACGTTTTGAACAATAAATGCGATATTTTTTACGAGATTAAATAAGAAATAAGACGTATTAATAAACGCTTAGTCGTAATGCACATCACGTAATGTATCAGCTTTTTGCGTTCTATAATGCGACGAATAATGTTTAATTTTAAGTTTCATGCTCATGCATTACGAAACGAACGCTTGTCGTTAATACCGCAACATACACTAGCGCTTTTGCATTATGGCTAGAAATTTTGACGTAAAGAAAACGGAACTAGTCGTTCTGTAATCAGGCTAGACATTGTATGCCGTTTTAGTCAATGTATCGTAATGTCATTCCAGCTGAATGGTAGTAATTTGCATTTGTAAACGGCGCCGTATCAAAACACACTTAGCTGCAAGCATTACGAAGGCAAGTATTGCAGCTACGTCTTTTTGAATATGGCTGATTCAAAATGTTGGCTGCAACGATGTGTCTGACGTGTGCCTGACGCCTATAAAACTATTTATTCAGTAGCGATCTTAGCCTAGGCCGCCGTTTAAAATAATATCACCTATTTTTAATTTTCGGAAATTTAGCCTATTAGCTACATTTTACAAATGCTTTCGAGGATAGCTTCTATTCCATTTACACAAGACACCATGCTATTTTCCAGGCGGTAGAAAGTCACCCAGTATAGGTATGTCGATATATAATGATAATTACTGAAAGCAATAAGGGTTCTTTCTTTTTTCCTTCTCGTTTTCTTTGTTTTTTCTTACTTGTTTGTTTGTTCCTTTCTTTCTAATAAGGGCTAATGCAAATTCTAGAAAGAAAATATAACGAATTAACTATCTTTCCCTCTTCATAGTTCTTTAAGAACGTATTTAGTGTATACATATAAAATAGCTTCTGCTATAATACACGGAGACTTTGGTCGACTACTCAGGTATTTGAAACCTATAGGCTAAAATCAATATTAAGACAATTTTACAATGAAGGTTTTCTGTTAGACTCAGAAACGTTATAAACATAGAAATAAATATTGTGAAAGTAACATTGTTAATTATACCTCCCAAGCGAGAGCAGCAAGGAATGCTTCATAAGCTGGACTTCCGCAGCGGTTCGACAAGATCTCGTTCCGAGTCTCCTGACCTTTGCCGACGTATATCACAGCAACCTTATGCGTTTCACGACACCTGTATCAAAAATATTAAAGACTTGTGACTAAATGTTAATAAAACAACATAAAATTAAAGCCTTAATCGTCGATTGTACTGTGTACGGTAACATATTTTTATTTTATATAAATTTTCTATATTAATGCTCATAGTGCAACACGGGCCACCGACGGATCGAAGGGGCATTACGTTTTTTCTCGATAGTGAACTGTCTGTCATTTTTTGAGGGGAAATCCCCGCACATTAAAATAAAAGCCAGTCAATACGAAACACACATAGAAATGAAAACATTACCTAACAATTTTACACACACATAGGTAAATTATAACCGTATCGCTCCGTGACAGTGACAACTTGGACAGACGCTCGACCGATGCGCATATTGTATGAGGGCGAGCGGCCTTTATTTGTGAGCCATATAGTATGAGGGTAAGCGATACAAATCAGAAACTTCACGACCGTTATTATTGTAATTTTTAAGTTTAAAAGAATTAAATAGCAATTTCGTGAAAGCAAAAAGCCAATTTGGATTCCAAAGGGGTTTAGGCCTTAGTATTAATAGTACCATCCAGGAAGACGCGCCCCACTATTTTTCCTATTCGTTTACAGTATAAGTGTGTAAGCTTCCTCTAATATTTGAGTGTTATCGGTACACACTGATTACCTACGAGTGAACGCGCACACTATAATAAATAGACCAATCAGGAGAAAGCATTACAGTCGAAGGGAAAGATGCTCTACTTGAATTTTATATATTTTTTAATGATTTTTAGGTGTGAGTATTTTATGTGATTATTACATAATATACGATAATATTACATTTTTTTATAGGACGCAATTATAAACATAAATAAAAAACGTGAAAAAGTTTTAAAATTACTTATATATGAAGGTAACGCCATCTTTTTTGTAATTTTAGATATTTATTTTAAAAAAAAAAAAAACTGAACAATTAAGCACTTTTGTAGGACGTCGATTTAGCCGCGCAACTAGATTGTCTAATGAGCTGTGCGGCTGCAACTAATTAGTTTGATTGTACGCATGGCACTGACCTCTATACATACATATTAAAGTCAGTGACGAGTGGACTTAACTTTGACAGAGAGGAATGCCTGCGTATGTCGTATGTTGCTCTATGATTAATACTCAGTCTAATGCTAAAAAAGATCATATTTACTAAATTCAATCTTTCCACTACTGCATTATACATTCGCTATAGTTCAGTAATGGAAGATTTAAAAATGCAGGCCGGGCACACACCTCCCAGGCCACACAGCCATTAATTGGTAAAAAAAAATATTGATTGCTCATGGAATATCGCATTACATGAAAAGTAAAATGATTTTTTAGTGTGACAACAAAGTAATTCAAGTGTTTACTAAAATTATTACAAAAATGAGCTCTAAATTACCTAAAGAATAATAAAAATATAGAAATAATAACAAAAAATTGATTTTTTGCGACCGTAAAATGAAAAGAAAATGTTATTTTTCGTCATTCACTTGCATAAAAATTACGTTCTATAACGCAGTACTGTGTCGAATATTTCGAAATAATCCAAATTTATTGTTAATTTTGATTTTAATAACAATATTCAATAGTGGAAAATTTCAAAATAATTTTGATGCTATCTCCAAAGCAGAACTATGAAAGAAGTTAGAGCAAAAAATATAAACAGAAAAACAAATTTAGCATCTATAAAATAACACAAAAATCAATATAGTTAGAGAAATCTATTCTAAACTGTGTGAGGCCCTTCCTCAATTCTGAGAAGGTTACTGATTACCGATTAATCCACCAAACTACACCAGTTCGTATTTGCTGATTTCATATTTCTCTGAAGTATTTTTATCCTTCAGGCATGCAGATTTCTTCATGACGTTTTTGTTCACAGCTGGGCACGTAGTCAATTAGCATTTAAAATTGTAATTAAAATTTCATTCCGTTAGCAGGAAGCGAATCCTTGAAAAACTAGCTCTCCACCATATACTGCTTTTAAAAAAAATTCAAATACTAAGCAAAATATATAAATTATATTATTTAATACCTAAGCGCGTCAAGATTACGTAGTTCACGTAGCAAGCGGTCAGAACGCTTCAACAGCTGCACGTGTGCGCGCCGCGACGGCGCCAAGGCGCCACTTTGCGCCAGGAACTGGCGGCACAGGTCAAACGGACCCGCAGCTGTCGAGCAACCTGGCGTGCATGTCTCGTCTGGCTCCAATTCCTCATCGCTGCAAAAATAGTTAATAATAATGTTCAAAGTATTGCAAATGTTTAAACACAAATATTCCAATATCAATTGTGGCAGGAGTAAATCCCGTTACAATCGGTATTGGGAATGTACCGAGTTTACTATTATACGTGGGTTTTATACGTGGTAGAGCCATGCTGCAGTTATATTAGTAGTATAGTTGTAGCACAAATGGGTCGGCTCGACCGGGGAAGGACCACGCTCTCACAGAATACCAGCGTGAAATAGTAGCTTAATGCTGCTGTGTTTCGTATGGTGAGTGTAGAGAACCGGAGACCCTTTTTACTGGAAACGAGGCATTCCATCTTAGTCCTCACGGGTGACAAAACATCTGCATTTTGATTCGTAATCGAGGATAGATGTAGATGTCTATGGGCCACAGCAACCACTTACCATGAGGTGGACTGTAAGCTCGTTTGTCACCCTATCCTATAAAAAAAACTATTCAAATGCTAATCTGTACGCGAACAGAATGCCTGTTACTTCTTAACCGCCATATGTTTGTGGCCGTGGAAACAAAAGGGGAGATCTCCCGCCGGGCAAGGTGTTATGCCCGGGGAGCGGCCAACGCTCCGTGTGATAGTTCGGAGATGTTCTATATATGCTATTTATGATTCGGAATGTTGATAGCGTGATTTAAGCTTCGGTGTGTTTCGCTTGTGGCGCGACGACAGCGCCGCCACATGTTAATTTAGTGATGACGTAATTAGAAATATATTAAAAAAATATTAATAAAGTTCAGTTTATTAGATTATGTATAGGAAATAGCTCAATTTTTATAAAACGTAATATAAATTCTGCTAATAATAAAATTATCTACACGTAGGTATATGCATCCAGAATACTGTTATTCTGCCGATGATGTTCGCGCCGAGAGCATGGAATAAGCGATTCGGCAGTGCATTGTCCACATCCAAAAAGCTTTTGACCTACGTTCCTTCAATTTACGACCAAATTTTTGGTTGTTACTTTAGGTCTAATGGTATAGTCATTTTGCACCTATGTATATAATATAATCATAATATGGATAAGGTTAAGGCTGTTAGGGTAATGGTGATGGTACATGTGAATAATCAACCGCTAATTGGGTTGCATAGGTTGATTACTTACGCGTACTTTACTATAGTAGTAGGTCTAGAATTCTAAATACTAACTTATGCTGTGTAGTAACTTACTTATTTGGACTTTTTGATAACATTAATTTTGTTTATAATGATGAGCCGTGGTAGCTCAGATGGTTAGCGTTCGCTGTACGCGAACAACCCGGTTCGATCCTCGTGGCATCAATGAAATTGTTAATTGAAATTTTAAGTGCTGATTTACTACATGCTTGACGGTGAAGGAATATATCGTAAGGAAACCGGCACGTCTGAGAAATAAGAAAAAACTTATTTCGGAGACATGTGAAGTTCGCCAACACGCATTTGGGCATCATGGCGGACGTTTCCTTGTCCTAAAACCCTCTCAAAAATGAGAGGAAGCCTGTCCCAGCAGTGAAACGTAACTATAACTTTTTAGTTTATAATGCAGTTATATTAATTGCTGTCTAAATTAATGTCAATAAATATTTGATATGAGATTAAATGAACAAATTGTAGATTATACTCATTTTGATTAATTTAATAAATTATAGTAAAAACCATGTTAGCATTTTATATTTACGAACAACAGCACCCCAGTTTAGTTTTATAACATGGCGGCTTCATTATCACAGCATTACGGACATCATTATCATAATAACAGCATGTCAAAACCTCACCGCTGGCCTTGACTATAGATTGCTTCGTAGTACGGATAGAAGCGGGTCAGCAAAGCGTGTTTTTTTTAAATTCTTATATATTTAAGTTCTTATCAGGAAAATGCTGCTACCAATCTCCTATGTTATTAACCTCTGTTGTTTCTTACGGCACCCACAGGATGATATGGGGTAGCGCATATTGTTTCACCACTAACTGTTAACTTCTGTATGTGCAATACTATTATTTATCCTGTGGTGCTGCGTTACTGATGCGAGAGTTAACAGTGACCATTATACTCCTGGCCAAAAGGCTTGTAGTTAAGGCCAAACCACACTCCTGGCCAAAGGGCTTGCAGCTAATGCACAATAAAAAATTAAAAAGGAAGAATGCGCACGGTTCGCGGTGCGCAAGGTAGAGGCGCTCGGCGTTGCGGTGCGCGACGAGCGCGGCCACCAGCTCGTCCTCGGCGCCGGCGGGCAGCGGCGACGCACCCGCGCTGTTCAGCCGCCGCCCGCACGTCACCTCCGGCGACGTGTGACCGATATACGCCAGCACCTGCACGTACATTTTAAACCATTATTTTCACTCACAAACAACTCAAAGCAGTTTTTTAAATAGAATAATAATATTTTTTACTTCATTTACAATTACACATGTTTACATACAGGAACAAATATAAATAAAGTAACAATAAGCCTAACAAAAATAACATGCTATCATAGAATTAAGATGATGTAGTGTAGGTGTAGTATAATAACGTAGAATCTACAAAAGAAAAATTGAAAGTCAAGTTTATATATATAATATTAGTAATCTTCCTGAACTAGATTGAGTGCCTGTGTTTCAGACCATCACACTTATACGGTTACGTTTTAATTTTAGGTTATGTAGGACACTAGATAATTATAATAATTAAAACTATATTATATAATAAATAAAATAACTAAATAACAATTATTTGTTACCTACAATTAATATAAACTATTTTAGAATTTCTAACAACTTTCCTGAGTCAGGTTACGGTAGGTCAGGATACAGGTTGAGGCAAAAGTAATCATCCGATGTTCTTTGGCTGCAATTTTTTTTTAGAAATAAATAACTTTGGTTGTATTTGTGGATTATCTACGGTTAATTCATTAGAATTTTTCTATTAAGTTGAGAAGGTGATATCGTACAAGTACCCGCCGCCAGCATTGATGAACATACGGACCCTTTTATGGCATTTTACATCACGTTTGCCAGAACTTCACGCGATAGTTTCGAAACACGAAACTTTAAAGACCCCCACAAAAAGAAGTCCGGTACGGTCAAATCAGCGTTCTTGGCGGCCAGTGCAAATCGTCAAAACGAGAGATTATGCGACTCGGAAATGCCTGCTTCAAAATTTCAGTTGTGGCTTGGGCAGTGTGCGCCGTTGCACCGTCCTGTTAGAACCACATCCTCTCCTCTCTCCTCTCCATCAGTCCTAGTTCATCCAACTGAGGAAGAAGAAACTCGTTGATCATGGCTCTGTAGCGGTCGCCGTTCAGATTAACCGAGTGGCCCGCGGCGTCCTCAAAAAGAAAAAAAAATGGCCCGATGATTCCCCCCAGCGTAAACAGCGCAACATGCCGTAACCTAGAGTTGTTGTAATGGCTCACACGGAGATTTTCGGTCCCCCAGAAGCAATAATGTTGGCGATTCACGTAGCCGTTGAGGTGGAAATAAGTTTCATTGCTCATGATGAATTTCGATAAAAATCGTTATCTTCTTGGTCGAGATTCAGGATGGCTTGAGCGTAGCTTACGCGCGTTTGGCGGTCAACAGTTAACAGCGTATGCCCTGTCTGAACTTTGTAAGGGAACATCTTCAGGTCTTTCACCAAAAGTCGTCATAGGGACCGCGTGCTAAGGCCCGATTGCGTGACACGTCGTCTGGTTGATGTTTCGGGGTCCATTTCGAAATCTTTGGCTACTGCGCCGTATTCTCAGCAGAACGGTTAGTCGGAGGCCGGCTGCGCCGAGGAGAATTTCATATTTTCACAGTCTCTTCAAGGTGGGCGACCAAACGCAGCAGTGTTTGTCCAGTTGGTGTCAGATGGGCGGGAAATCTGCGACGAAATTCACGCTGTGCCAACACCACAGGCGAATTATTGCGCAAAAAATATGGAAACAATTATTCCATGTTTTTGAGGAGTATAGGGATGATCTATGGATTGTCGACATGTATTTTACATCTGTTTACTTCAAATATGTCCAAACCGATTTGAAATTTGACGCCATTTGCAAAAATTATGGCGTCTTCCAATAGGGTGATTACTTTTGCCTCAACCGCTTTTTTATTGGATAAGGGTCAGAACCAGCACCCTTTGCGGGATCAAGTTTCTCTAGGGCAAGTTCAATTTGTCGCGGTGAAAATAAAATTTCCCCAATACTGTAAGTACCGCTCGACCAGGGTACGAGTCGGTGCTTGGAAAGTTTGGCAATAAAAGGGTTAATGAGGCTGACAAGATAATACTGGCTGTATGCAAGGAAAAGGGTCTTCTTGTGATAAACACTATGTTTAATCACAGGAAAATCCATATGTACACCAAAGAAAGAAAGAATGAGAGAAGTATGATTGATTTGTTATCTTTAGTAACTTGTTAAGCTTGTTATATAGCAATGGTCTTAAAATATGTAAAATCTGTTCACAAATGCGTATTTGGTTTGAGGGTTTACACAAAATAAATCCATTCTTCTTCTCTCTAACAATTTTAAGTGAAATGGAAGTACGGGGAAGAATGAGGTGACCATCTGGAATAGTCTTGTTATGAAATAAATGTTATCATAATCGTTATATAAAGTTCTTCTATTAATGAATCGTGAATCTGTTGTCAAATTAAAAAAAATATTCTTTGTTGCAAGACCAAACGCTTTCGAAAAAATTATCTGGAGGCCACGTGTGTTTGTGTGTGTGTCTATACATATAAATTTTTTTTTAAAGAATAAAGGTGACAAACAAACACACAGTCTACCTAATGGTAAGTGGATGCTGTAATCTAAAGAAATCTACATCTATCTTCGATTAAGAATCAAGGTACAGATGCATTATCACCTCTAAGGATTCAGATGGAATGCCTTCGCTGTCAGAAAAAAAACACACTCTTTACTCGTGCCAACATTATCAACCTTCTATTTGGTGACTATTTGAAATAATGTCAAATATATTTTATAAACCAAAATTAATATAGAGATGAAAAAAAATTATAGAAGATTGTGACTTATCCGATGTTGTTCCAAGGATGGAATATATGTAGATATGTAGTAATGTAATGTATGTAAAATTATGTTTACAAATCGAATTAAATAACTACTCGTTAAAGTTAACCTAAGTAAAATTTAAATAGCTTAACAAAAAGCTTATCACACTCACACATATATTGCACATATTAATATTTTATAATAAAATTTGAAGATAACTTTAAAAGTCTTACATGATCCAACTGATGTTTGTCTGGTGGTGAATTTTTATAATCAGGCAGTAGGTCTGGTGGTAAAGGTGGTGGCAGAGATGACAAAGTGTTGTCTCTTGGGCTGTGTACACTGAAAATACAAAATCATTCAGTTTTTATGTAAGCATTAAGAGTTTTGGTCCTATTTGTTAAATTATTGTCAAAAGGAGTAATTTGGCATAATATAAGCATTCAATATTTATATACTTTTATACATAACTTTATTTTACCAATTTTTATTTAATGATTAATTCAATTCTATCGGGCTAATAGTTGTATGTACGCAGACATTTACTACACAAAATCACACCATGCAAAGACCAAAGACCTATCGACAAAAAAAAATATATCGATATATTTCATGGATGCAGATGGTTCAGAACTATGCTTTGTGATTTGTGACGGTGTCTGGTAGTGGGTTACATTCAGGGGTGAATTTATTATTGGAACTGACTGCAATGATAGTTAATATTTTGTTCTATTTAAAAAGAAGAAAAATACATTGTCTTTGATTGGCAGGAAACAACAATATAATTACAGAGTGAATAAAATTAGTCTTACGTATCTGGTAGTACAAGTGGTTGAAGATCCTCCGACGAAGAGCCAAAAGGGTCATAGTACAAAGCGGAAGCATCCCAGCACGCTTTGCCTGCTATATCTCGGAGAAGGATGCGTACTTGTCGATCAGATGTCATTAGACCTGGGAAAAAAATTCTTTACATTATGTCCTTGAATAATATCCGACGTTTTAGTAAAAAAATGGATGAGTGGGTTAAATAAGTGAATAGTTTAAAAAATACTGTTTATTTACGAAAATAACTGGTTTGTTAGATGTAGATTTGTCAACATCTCTACAAATAATAAACCATTACTTTCCTAAAGGGATAACTTTCTTATTCTTATCTAATTGTATAACAGTCTAGCTCAAAATCCCAATTGCTTAATTCAATTTAGATAAACACTTAAGATTGCAAAATTATTTTAAACTTTCGCCAATCTTTACATAGTATAAAACAAAGTCGTTTCTCGCCGTCAGTACGCTTAGATCTTTTAAACTACGCAACGGTATGCGGTTCATCAACAGACAGAATAATTCAAGAGGAAGGTTTATATGTATATTTATATTTATAATTCTTCTGTCCGTGTGTATATGACTGAACTCCTAAACTGCTATATGTGTGATTTTAAGTTGATTTGAGAATGCTTTAGATTCATAATTAGGCCCGCTATTGTCGAAATCCAGAAATCACCTGTGCAGTGGCGGGTCAGGTCGCTAGTTAGGAAATATAGCAAGCGAGCATACGGTTCACCTGATATTAAGTGACTACCGGCACCCATGAACAACCGCAACACCAGGGGAATTGCAGGTGCGTTGCCGGCCCTTTAGAAAGGAATAAGCTCTTTTCTTAAAGGTCGTATCGGTCCGGAAAAATCGCCGGTGGTAAATTATTCCACAGAGAGCTCGTATGCGGAAGAAAAACTCCTAGTGAAAGGTACAGTACCCGTATTTATATTTAATAGCAAAATTAAAAATACAATTCGTTTATATATACACCAAAAATTTAAGTGCTGATTTACCACGTGCTCGGCAGTGAAGGAAAACATCGTGAGGAAACTTGCATGTCTGAGAAATAAGAAAAACAATATTTCAAAACCATGTAAAATCCGCCAACATGTATTGGGCAGCGCTAAGACCCTCTCAGAAATAAGGCCTGTGCCCAGCAGTGGGCACGTATATAGACTGTAAGTTTAACTTTATTCATCACAAGCACAAGGACTAGTATAGAATGTACCTGGCGTGGTGCCACCTGCGGGCATGTCAAGCGCGGGCAGCTCGATGAGCGAAGCGAGCGTGGAGTCGCTGAAGCGCATGAACTGCAGGTGGCGCGCGGCTAGCACGGCCGGGCCCAGCTCGGCGCCCAGCGGCGGGCTGCTGTCGTGCTGCTCGCACACGCTCGACGATAGCTGGCAGCCGCTCCACAGCGGCCAGTGGCCCAGGAACAGCACCAGCTGCGTGCATATCTGACAACAATAAATTAAGCTAATTGACTTCTTGTTACCGCATCTGATTGGGGAACGAAGCTCTTGTATGTTTCATCATCATCATTACAGCCCTTCACAAGTCCACTGCTGAACATAGGCCTCCCCCAAGGTATGCCACAAAGCACGGTCCTGAGCCACCTGCATCCATCGACTTCCTACATGGTCACTCTACCAGGTCTTCCTACCAGGTCGTCACTCCATTTAGTGGGGGGTCGCCCTACACTTCATCTACCGGTACGAGGATGCCACTCGAGAACCTTTTTTCCCCAACGGTTGTCGGTTCTTCGAGCTATATGGCCGGCCCATTGCCACTTCAGCTTACTAATCCGTTGGGCTATGCCGGTCACTCTGGTTCTACTGTGGGTCTCCTCATTTATAAGTTTACCGCGCAGAGAAACCCCGAGCATAGCCCTCTCCATAGCTCGCTGAGCGACTTTGAGCGTCCTTAGGGGACCGGTCTAGGTCATAACTGGCAACACGCACTGTTGTACACTTTAGTTTTCAGGTTTTGAGATATACCTGACGAGAAGATATGTCGTAATTTCCCGAACGCTGCCCAGCCGAGTTGAATCCGTCGATTGACCTCTCGGTAGAAGTTGGACTTACCTAATCGACGACGGACTATTTGTCCCAGGTAAACGTACTCATCAACAACTTCGAGCTTAGTGCTCCCAACAACTACGGGCATAGGTGTGACATGGACATTAAACATGATCTTTGTTTTGTCCACGTTCATCTTAAGACCTATCCATTGGGAGGCACTATTGAGGTCATTGAGCATAGTGCTTAAGTCCTCCAGCGATTCTGCCATAAGGACTAAATCGTCGGCAAATCGAAAGTGAGTGATGTACACGCCATTGATGTTAACACCGTATCCTTTCCAGTCCAGTAGCTTGAAAACGTCTTCCAATGCAGCGGTGAAGAGTTTCGGGGAAATAACGTCACCCTGTCTTACACCTCTCTGCAGTTGGACAGGTTTCGTACTCTGGTTCTGTACTCGGATAGCCATCGTAGCCCTACTGTACAAACACTTCAGCACTTCGATATACCGACAGTCAACTTGGCACCGCTGAAGGGACTGTAGCACCGCTCAAATTTCGACGGAATCAAAGGCTTTTTCATAGTCCACATACGCCAGGCAAAGTGGCAGATTGTACTCTTCGGACTTCTGTACAATCTACCGCAGGGCATGTATGTGGTCCATGGTACTGAAGCCTTTTCGGAAACCGGCTTGTTCAGTAGGTTGGAAGTCGTCGAGTCTGCGTGCGAGACGATTTGTAATGACTCTCGAAAACAGCACGTAGACGCGGCTCAGAAGGGATATCGGTCTGTAGTTCTTCAAGAGGGCGTTGTCACCTATCTTGAAGAACAAGATCACTGCACTTCTGCTCCACGCCTCAGGAGTAGTGCCTCCGTAGAGGACGGAATTAAAGAGCTTCTGAAGGACTTCAAGTACCGGTTTTCCACCCGCTTTCAGAAGCTCCGCTGTAATTCCATCCTCGCCCGGGGACTTGCCGTTTTTAAGGTGCTGGAGAGCCATTCTAATCTCGCTCAGACTGACGTCCGGGATATCATCGGAATAGTGTGGGATAAGACTTGCTCTTGGATCGTTACTCACACTTGCGTGTGGCTCCAACGATGATGTGTACAGCTGCCCATAGAACCCCTCAATCTCACTCAAAATCTCAGGTGTCCCGGAAACGATGCTGCCACACTCAGTCTTCAGCTTTGACAGTTGGCTTTTACTGGCAGACAGATCTCTGGCAAAGACTTTGGAGCCCTGGTTCCGCTCGATCGCTTCTTCAATACGAGCAGTATTAAAGTTGCGGAAGTTTCGCCGCATGTATTTGGAGATCTGTCTGTTCATTTGCCTGTATGCTGTCAAATTTGTTGACGATTGCAGCCCCATCTCCCGTCTGATAGCCATGAGATTAAGAGTGTGATCGGAGAGTTTTTGTGTTCTTCTGCGGCGGGCCTTGCAGAACTTAGCTCCAACCGCATGGACAGTCTTCACGAGCTTGTCATTCATATCGTCCACTGCATTGCAATCTGCACTGAAAGTGGTTACGTAACTCGAGCTGAAAAGTTCGGGATTCTGGGTTAGAGCACGAGGGGGACGGAGCGTTGACTTCATTAGACGAGAACTCTCCAACTTTACGTTTAAGTTCAGTGTGCCTCTAACCATTCGGTGATCGCTGCCAGTTTTCACCCTTGCGATCACTGAGACATCACTGAACAGTTGGCGTCTGGTCGTCATAATGAAGTCAATCTCATTTTTTGTCGAACCGTCGGGGCTCGACCAGGTCCACTTCTTGTGGGGCCGCTTCTGAAAGAAAGAGTTCATCATAAAGAGTCCCTCTTTCACCATAAAGTCGGCCAGCTGCTGGCCCCTACGGTTCCGTTGCCCTACTCCAAATTTCCCTAACTTCAGCTCACCGCTTTCTCTTGTGCCTAGTTTTGCGTTGAAGTCTCCCATCAACACCGTGTAGTGGGTTTTGGAGGAATGCATGGCTCTAGAAATATCCTCATACATTTCCTCCACCTCCTCTTTGGGATGTGCCGAGGTTGGTGCGTAAACCGGTATGACCTTCAGCGAATACCGTTTGGTGATTCTGAGTATCAGGTACGCGACCCTCGTCGACACACTCCCAATCTTTACAACGTTGTTGACGAGAGACTTGTGGACGATAAATCCGACACCTCCTTGGGACAGATGGTCGCCCTCCCGGTGACAGAACAAGTTGCCGGGCTCGAATATTACTGTGCCCTCCCCCTCTCTTCGGACCTCGGATAGTCCAATAATGTGCCAGCGCAACTTGTCTACCACTTCTTCCAGCTCCAGTATCTTCTCGTCAGTCCTCAGGGTGCGTGCGTTTCATTTATATATATGTTGCCAGGGCGAGTCGTCGTAGGTGGCAACCGAACCTTCACCGGAGAATCTTAGCACCCCCGCCCCGCCGTTACCATGGTCGCCACCGTAGCCAGGACGAATAGCGGGGCCACCGGTGACTGGGGGCCGTTTGTTTGCGTCGTTGCTCAAGGGGGGATATTTGCCATAGTTGCCACGCTTGGCGAGCGGGTTGGCAACCGCAGTTTTTTATTATATCATTGCTGTTATCAGGAAGATGCTGCTGCCCGTCTCCTTTCTGTGTCCCTCTGTCGCCTCTTACGACACCCACGGGAAGATAAGGGGTAGTGGATATTCTCAACCGCCACTACACGGCATTGAAGATCATACACAGCGACAATGTAGTCAGTGCTCGCTTTAATCTTATCGTTTTCTTTTTCAATTCTAGACCATTCCTTTTCATCTAAATGTGACCAGTATTTTTCGCTCAACTTCTCCTTTCCAGATTCATCCGCATTTTCAAAGCTGACACACAACTCACAACAAGCAATAGTTGACTCGCGTAGTGAGCGGACGTGTTTACTCTTTACTTCGACAAATAAAATTCAAAATAGTAGTGCTACATAATTCTAAACTTAATTGTGCCAAAGTATAGTGCTGTTCCAAATAAAGTGTGCCCATGGTAAGAACTAAAAATCGTAAACTATTTCATGTCCAACGACAAATAAAGGCTGGGATTTATTATATTTACGCAAATAATGGAAATAAAAAATAGAAAGTTTATTATTCAATATCAATAACATCAATTGAAAGTCATTCTTATGTTTAATTTACTACTGGTTTCGGAAAGAAGTATTCCATAGTGAGGGTCACGCACATACCAACCGAGCGGAGCGATAAGCGGAGCGGAAAATTTATTTACACATACAACAATATGAGCGTCCAACGTTCACCTACAACCAAATCTAGTGACAAAATGAATATTATTAGTGGGAATAGTAATTCCCAGCCTGACCTGTCAATCATTGCAGCAACTGAGCACGAATATAAAAATGTGTCACAACGCAAAAGAAAAGCGCCTGAGGATGATTTCTCGGTCCAATTCAATGAATTTAAAAAAGAAATTATAGGAGTGTTAAAGGAGTTTGGTAAATCCCAGACAGAAAACATCAATTCTATAAAAACAGATATCAAATCTATCAATGAACAACTTATTGATATGAAAACTAAAACGGACTTGCTGCTCATAGAACACAATACCTTCAAGTCTGAAATACGAAAACTAACAAATACTGTCACTTATAACGAAGAAAAAATAAAATGTATTGAAAATGATGTACATTCTCTTCAGAGCACTGTACATGCCCCCTTACCATCAGGAAGTCCTAAACCGACAGCGAATAGTTATGCAGATATAATGACCGAAGTTCAAGAGCGTTTAGAGCGCGCCAAGAATATAATAATCGCTGGCATTTTCGAACCACATTCAGAAAATATGGAAGAAAAGAGGGAAAACGATAGATGTGAAGTGATGAAAGTACTATCAGGCATCTATCCACTTACCCCCAACCAGAAAAAATAATGCGCCTAGGCAAGTATGATGGGAAGAAAACGCGCCTACTAAAAGTTTTCTTTTCAACTCCAGATATAGCAAAACCCCTTATTAAAAATAAATTTAACTGCAAAGTAAGTAATATAAAAATCTTTTCCGATCAGACACCTAACCAAAAACAAGAAATGGCAAACCTTCGAGAAGAGTTACGTCAGCGCAAAGAAAAAGGGGAAAACGACTTAATTATAAAGTATATAAAAGGAACACCTGAAATAATAAAACAGGAAACACAAAACGGGACACCAGAGAAAATACAATAACTAAAAATAAGGATAAATTTATAACTCATAAATGTCATTATAATTATGCAGATTTATCTATTACAAACAAAGCACTAAAATTTTTCTACGCCAATATTCGCAGTTTAGTTAAGCCAGGCAAACTAGATGAAATACTTTGTATTATAGAATCACTCGAAACGAAGATTCATGTTTTAATTATTACGGAAACTTGGATAAAAAACGAAGACGAAGCACAGAGATTAAAACTACCAAACTATGTTCACTACTATAACTACAGAAAACATTCTAGAGGTGGTGGAGTCTCTATGTTCATTCATAAGGATTTGAAACACGAATTATTGGAGGATCAACGTGAAGACGGAAACCACTTTTTATGGGTACATCTTGACACTTTTTCCCTGGACATAGGTGCCATATACAAACAGCCAGCAGCAAGTACTGACAAGTTTCTTGAAAACTATAACCAACACCTTGCAAGAAGAAAGCGTGTTATTATCTTCGGCGACTTTAATCTTAACCTACTTACTAACGACAAACACGTAAAAGAATATAAAGAACTGTTGCGAGAGAATAACATAAGAATATTGAATAAAATCAACACCGAGTGTCATCATCATCATCATTACAGCCCTTCACAAGTCCACTGCTGAACATAGGCCTCCCCCAAGCAATGCCACAAAGCACGGTCCTGAGCCACCTGCATCCATCGACTTCCTGCATGTCTTACCAGGTCGTCACTCCATCTAGTGGGGGGTCGCCCTACACTATGCTTACCGGTACGAGGCTGCCACTCGAGAACCTTTCTTCCCCATCGGTTATCGGTTCTTCGAGCTATATGGCCGGCCCATTGCCACTTCAGCTTACTAATCCGTTGGGCTATGTCGATCACTCTGGTTTTACTGCGGATATCCTCATTTCTGAGTCTATCACGCAGAGAAACTCCGAGCATAGCCCTCTCCATAGCTCGCTGAGCGACCTTGAGCGTCCTCATACGGCCAGCAGTGAAGGACCACGTCTCTGATCCGTAAGTCATCACTGGCAACACGCACTAGTTGTACACTTTAGTTTTCAGAGATTGAGGTATACCTGACGAGAAGATGTGTCGTAATTTCCCGAACGCTGCCCAGCCGAGTTGAATCCGTCGATTGACCTCTCGGTCGAAGTTGGACTTACCTAGTCGGACTATTTGTCCCAGGTAAACGTACTCGTCAACAACTTCGAGCTTAGTGCTCCCAACAACTACCGGCATAGGTGTGACATGGACATTAAACATGATCTTTGTTTTGTCCATGTTCATCTTAAAACCTATCCGTTGGGAGACACCATTGAGGTCATTGAGCATAGTGCTAAGGTCCTCCAGGGATTCTGCCATAAGGACTATATCATCGGCAAATCGAAGGTGAGTGATGTACTCGCCATTGATGTTAATACCGTATCCTTTCCAGTCCAGTAGCTTGAAAACGTCTTACAATGCAGCGGTGAAGAGTTTCGGGGATATAACGTCACCCTGTCTTACACCTCTCTGCAGTTGGATAGGATTCAAACTCTGGTTCTGTACTCGGATAGCCATCGTAGCCCTACTGTACAAACACTTCAGCACTTCGATATACCGACAGTCAACTTGACACCGCTGAAGGGACTGTAGCACCGCCCAAATTTCGACGGAATCAAAGGCTTTCTCATAGTCCACATACGCCAGGCAAAGTGGCAGATTGTACTCTTCGGTCTTCTGTACAATCTGCCGCAGGGTATGTATGTGGTCTATGGTACTGAAGCCTTTTCGGAAACCGGCTTGTTCGGGAGGCTGGAAGTCGTCGAGTCTGCGTGCGAGACGATTCGTAATGACTCTCGAAAACAGCACGTAGACGCGGCTCAGAAGGGAAACCGGTCTGTAGTTCTTCAAGAGAGCGTTGTCGCCTTTCTTAAAGAACAAGACCACCGCACTTCTGCTCCAGGCCTCCGGAGTAGTGCCACCATGGAGAACGGAATTGAAGAGCTTCTGAAGGACTTCAAGTACCGGTGTTCCACCCGCTTTCAGAAGCTCCGCTGTAATTCCATCCTCGCCTGGGGCCCTGCCGTTTTTAAGGTGCTGGAGAGCCATTCTAATCTCGCTCAGACTGACGTTCGGGATATCATCGGAATAGTGTCGGGTAAGACTTGCTCTTGGATCGTTACTCACACTTGCGTGTGGCTCCAACGATGATGTGTACAGCTGCCCATAGAACCTCTCAATCTCACTCAAAATCTCAGGTGTCTCGGAAACGATGCTGCCACACTCAGTCTTCAGCTTTGACAGTTGGCTCTTTATGGCAGACATATCTCTGGCAGACTTTGGAGCCCTGGTTCCGCTCGATCGCTTCTTTAAAACGAGCAGTATTAAAGTTGCGTAAGTCTCGCCGCATGCATTTGGAGATTTGTCTGTTCAGTTGCCTGTATGCCGTCAAATCTGTTGAAGATTGCAGCCTCATCTCCCGTCTAACAGCCATGAGATTAAGAGTGTGATCGGAGAGTTTTTGTGTTCTTCTGCGGCGGGTCTTGCAGAACTTAGCTCCAACCGCATGGACAGTTTCCACGAGCTTGTCATTCATATCGTCCACTGCATTGCAATCTTCTAGGCACCGAGTATTGCAATCGTGAAACCACAACATCAAAAACTATTATAGATCATGTATGTACCAACTTACAAAATAATACTTTCCAAATGTATATTATTGAATCCTCCATAAGTGATCTCAAACAAATATATCTTGAGTTAAATAGACCGAAAACCGAACCCATAAAAAAAGTTCAATATGAAGCAATTAACTATAACAACATGCAGAACGATATTGAAGAAATTTCTCAAAATAAGCGATTTCAAGTATATGAGGAGCTAGAATGGCAACTACTACAAACTATTGCAAAAAAAAATAGAATAAGAAAAACAAAAGTGGTCAATCCGCCTTGCAAAGAGTGGATAAACAGGGGCCTAATTGCTTTAATAAATAAAAGGAACCAACTATAGTACAGCTTAAAACAAACACCTGAAGATGAAAATTTGAGAACAGAATTTATAAAACAAAGAAACCATACGTTTGCAAATATCCAAACAGCTAAAAAACAATTTTATCATAAGGCTTTCACAGATTCTAAGAAATGTCCTTTAAAAATATGGCAACTAATTAATAGACTGTCAAATAATAAATCAGATCTGGCAGACCTAAGGTATTTAAAAATAAATACCCCCAATGATCTCAAAAAAAAATCTCAAATATTAAAGAAATTTATGAGTATTTTAACAGATTTTTCGCCACTATAGGCCGTGAACTTGCAAATAAAATACCGCAAAAATATCATAAAAACTTTACACAAACACTGTCATACAACAAACCTAAAAACAACAACACTGATTTATCAAAATTAAACCCAACAACCGCAGACGAGGTACTGAAAATAATAAGACTTAGATTCTAACGCTAGTTCCGGTTTAGATGGCATGAACACAAAGTCCTTAAAGTGTATTAAAGACAATATGGTAGAAAACCTTGCTATTTGTATTAATAAATGTTTAAGTAATAGGTATTTTCCATATAGCCTAAAAACTGCAAAAGTTAGTCCTATTTTTAAAGCCGGAAGCAAACAAGACGCAAACAATTACCGATCAATATCGGTACTTCCAGTAATGTCGAAATTATTTGAAAAAATACTACATAAACGACTATATGACTACCTGACTTCTATTGATTACCTCTATAAAAAGCAATATGGCTTCGGCCCAAAGTCTAACCACTGTATCTGCAACTGTTGATTTAGTAACCAACATAAGACTTAATATTGATCAGAAAAAAATTAAATTAGGTATTTTTATTGACCTAAAAAGGCTTTTGACACAGTCAGCCATGACATCCTATTCTTAAAACTAAAAGTCTAAATCTTTCGTACGTAGACTTTCAATTTTTTTTTATTTTTTGCACTGAAGTGCAAAAAATAATAAAAAATTGAAAATCACAATCCTCTTACTATTGATGGTGAAATATTAACCAAAGTTAACAACGAGAAATATTTAGGCCTTGTTCTTGACGGTCGACTTATTTGGAAACAACATATTGAGAAGATCCATAGTAAAATCTACTCATTAACAGGAGCTTTAAAAACTATAGGACGATGTCTCCCGAGACATGTCAAATATACCATATATAACTCTTTAGTTAAGCCTCATTTAGATTATTTGATTGAGGTATGGGGCTCAGCTACTAAATCAACGTTGCAAAAACTACAAGTTACACAAAATAAAATCATAAAAATATTTTTCCAATATAAATACTTAACACCTCCACTCAAATATATAAAGAAACCAAATTACTTAATCTAGCCCAAACGTACAAATATAAAATATGCATTTTTATTAGGAAAATACTTACTAATGCTACTCACTCTCAAATAACATTTACAAAAAAGATAGATTATCATAAACGTATGACAAGACAGGCTAATAACCTATGTTTGAGATTATATAGAACAAACTATGGAAAAAGGAGTGTACAACAAATTACCTAAAAACATTTAAGAAACAAAATCCCTGTACACTTTTAAGAAATTGCTAAAAAGCCACATTTTAAAGGATTTTTCATAATAACTTAATAATCACAAATCTCTAATCTACATATATGAAGTACACATGCAACCTTAATAATAATATCTACAATAAAATAGTTGTATAAAGATAATACAATATAATTTCTTATACAT